ATATTTGCAATAATGATAATGAACGAATTGGAATTGTTATTAAGATTAGGTATCTGTTGAGATCAATAATGGTCCGGGAGTTCACCGTTAATTAGCTGTCTCTTATACACATCTAGATGTGTATAAGAGACAGGTGTTCTAATGGGACTCTGGAGCCTTCAGGTTTCCAGCAGGTGCAGATCTCCACCAATAGAAAGGAGTCGTCAACACCGTAAAGCCGCAATCTCGGGGATGCTCCTATCACCCCAGAGATAGTGGCGTTTTTGCAATTCGATGTTGAACATTAAACCACCAGTACCTTTCCCGGCTAGTTTGCTGAGACGCGTTGGGAAATGCAGGAGGCTGGCGGGGTTCGGTGCTACCGGAACGAAATGGCTGGCGGCGCCAGCCAAAATGAGTTCCGCGCGGATTCCTTTTTTTTTGGGCGCACAGGGAGATTTTGGGCTCAGCATCTATAGCTGAGAAAGGTACTTGCGGTTTTAAAGAAGAGAATAGAAAAATGTACCATCAATCTAATTTGATAGGCCCTTTTTTTTTTTTTTTTTTTTGACAAGAACGCAGCTCATTTATTTCCACAAAAAAAGGGGGAGGCCTGGAATTCCTTGACAAACAACCCGGAAAAGTACTGGGACGGTTACTCAGCTCAGGCGCAAGCATTGGGATATAGTCCAGGGGCAGAAATGACCAAATCAGGACCGCTTCCCTGACCATCTACAACCCTGGGGGGTGAAAAAACCCATAAGGCCTCAATCCACTACTCACCAAATCTGCAAAATGAGAATGAATCTTCCGCTTGAAGCCTAGAGCATGGAAAGCCACACAGCATACTTGCGGCGCATATGTGAGGTGCGCTGCGCTGTGCGGTGCACTGATCACAGATCCGCAAAAAAAAAAAAAAGAAAGAAAAAAAAAGAAAGCAACCGTGATGTGTGTATACACGCTGGAGAGAGAGAGAGAGAGAGAGAGAGAGAGAGAGAGCTGTCTCTTATACACATCTAGATGTGTATAAGAGACAGGTGCACCATCGCTCACTGGACTTCCTCCCGCCTC